ACTGTGTTTAACCAAACACATAAACTGCCACTTAGTGGCAACTTCTTGAATAAAGCTAGGATAGATACATATACTGTACCTCCAAAATGTTGGGTATGCCAAGCTAGAATTCAGTGTAACTGTTGTCACTTCCTCATGTAGTTTAGTTTGAATATACCATCTGGTTTTTCTGCCCTGTCTCAGGTTAGGGTTGTATCCAGTGAGGACACAAATCCAATTTGTAATACTTAATTTGTTATTTTAATTCATAACCCACCAATATTTTTCATCTCATTTAAAATATATCCATCTACAACAATGCAGATGATGTAAGCTTTTGCACATCTTCTATGGCATGTCAAAGTATTACATCTATGGGCTCATCTGAGTATTCAATGATCAAAACTTATGGTTACACAGTTATCAGTTTGTGTGACATTATATAGTATGCATCATGATATTCAGAGAAAACAAATTACTAAATTTTATTTTTCTTATTATTCTAATGATGGAAAATTTTCCATAAGTCAACTTCAACATAATTTCCATCAGTAAAATTCAGATAATGCATTAAATATTTAGTGACATTTATAAATGTCATATGTATTAAATTCTACCTTTTAAAAGTGAATCAGAGGTCATAAAATGTAAATATATAAATGACACTCTTAAATATTTATAAGCAAAGGTGGTTACCAGTGATATTGTGGATAAACAGCTCATTAAGAAATATAAGATGTTCTTTCAAACACCTTCTGTAATAGATGGGAAGTATTAATTCTATTCTTGGCTAATTTTACACAGGATTAATTTTTATAAAATACATTATAAACTATGAAAATTACTTAAATGAAAGATGGGATCAAAGGTAAATATCCAGTGAAGTTTGTTCAACACCAAAAAAATATTTTGAAACTCTATTATTTGTTGATAGGGTTAATGTACTTATATAGTGCTTACAATATAGTAATACATACATCAGAGTCCTCAGAAACATAAAGAAATCATTCTTGTTATTTAGCTATAGCCATTGAATAATCATACTAGAACGTAATTTCTTTCTAACTTCAGAGATATAAGCAGCATGACATACAAATATTAAATATTAACATAATGTGAAGCTATTGAGTTGGCTGTCACAGGAATTTTGAATATCCTTGTGACCACAGCTAGTAACAGCCTGAACCTGCCACCAGTGTGATAAGCTGTTTCTCTGAGGACAAAAGTCAATTAACTGTAAACATTAAGGTAATCATAACTTATTACCATATGCTGATATCTAGTCGTTATGACATTTTTATAATAAAACTTCAATTTCTCATCTATTCCTAAATTCAGTTAACTTGTTTGCTAAATGAAAATCCTCACTACTCCTCCCATTCCCAAATAAATTTCTTTTTGCCTTTTGGTGAGAGTGCATGAAGTGGTCTAAAATGTACTGCCTATTTACAGGAATTTCTCAGAGCATATAAACTATATTCTGCTGTCACCACTATAAGATCATTTCAAAGCATTAAATTTCTACCAAGCATTCTGGCACCATTATTCTGTTGTGTTAATAATACTTGAAAAGAACAGGAATAAGTAATGATGGTAGCATGGACCAAGACAGCCACAATGGAAGTAGTAAGGAACAATAGGATTTCTGATATATAATGAAAGTAAAAGCAACAGGATTTTCTAGTGGACATTTTGTGGGAAGTTAGAAAAAAAGGGAAATGATGAATAATTTCAAGGTTTCTGGCCTGGAGCCAAGAGAAATTCTTTTGAAAATAGGAGCAATAATTGCATGGTTTTGTGTTGATGGGAAAGATACAGAGGACAGGAAGACATTGTTACAAGTAGAGGAGAGAAAGATAACAATTACTGGAGTGATATCCCTGAGTATATAAAAGACAAAAAGAATAGTGTACATGAGGGAAAGGGCTGACCCTTGCAAAGGAACAGTTCATCTACAGGAAGAGAAGAAATGTAAGATATACATTAGATGCATATAGATGGGCAGATGTGGACATATGCTGTTTTACTTTTAGTTTTTAAAGTATGAATATTTTATTTTCTTTGAACTTTTTTTTCTAGGCTTCATCAATATGCATATATCTTATTCAGGAGGAAATTTCTTTTTTTATGTATTTGTTACAGGGTCTCCCTAAGCAGCTCAGACTCATAGTGATCCTTCTGTTTTCAGCCTCCCCAGTGCTCGGATTATAGGCACGCACCACTACACTGGGACTTGGTGCTGGCTCAGTGTGCCCATGGCTGGGTCTGACGTGGCAGGTAGTGCTGGAGATCAAACCGGGGTCCCTGTGCTTGCCTAAACAGGTGCTTAGTACACTGAGCTATCTCACTGGCCCCTCAGAAGGAAATTTCTAAAAATTACTTATAAGAAATTACGCTTTTGATTGCTCCAATTTTGTTAGTGGAATGAGATAGAAGTTGAGCATGCAATTGGAGGTGTTGGAGGTTTAAGGACAAAGAAACATGTGTGATTAGTAACCTAGGAAAGTAGAAAAATAAATGGCTGAGAAAACACAGTAAGACTCCTGGGCAGCCTTAAGGTTGCACTCTAAGTTTATGGTAATAAATGTAAAGTGAAGTCAGTATAGGTGTAAATGTATTCCTGCGAACAGCTATACAAGGTACAGATATAGAGTAGATAGGATGTTCAGTTTAACCAAAGTTGAATCTTGCGAGCAAGTTCAGCTAACTTTTAAAACCATTGTACCTCTACAGAGCACATACAGACATTTTTCCTTGCTGTTATTCCCTGTACAACACAATAGCTATTTATGTCGCATTGATGTTAAACAAATTTTTTAAAATTTTGTTTATTTATTTATGTCTTTTTGAGACAGAGTCTCACTGTGTAGTTCAGGCTGGCTTGGAGCTCACTTTGTAGTTCATGCTGTTCTTGAACTCACAACTCCTGCCTCTGCCTCCTGAGTGCTGGGATTATAGGCATACACCATCATGCCTGGCTTAAATTAGGTATTCTAAGTAATCTAGAGATGATTTAAAGTACATAGATCAATATGCATAGGTTCTAAAAAAAAAGTGCTTGGCGATAGTCTCAGGTCAACAGTTTCTGACATTGCCAGTTAAACAGAAGACCCAATGCTATTATGGGCTACTGGACTCTTTTAGAATATTTTGCTGAGTTTACACACCTATAATATTTAATAACAGAACTTAGAAAAAATGGGGTATACCTATGAATGTCCATTTTGTATCTGTGTATTCAAAGTGGTT